AAAATAAAGAGTATTTCCATTTTCTAAAAATTTACTGATTTAGTATGTTAATGGCAATTTTTGTAAAAGTGCAAATCCTCTTTGAGTTTCAATTGGTGAAAAAGGTACTAATGTAGGTCTTTCTAAAAGCAAAGTGGTATAAAGTAAACTTTTGGAAATTGAGAGGTAACTGTACCTAGAAATATAACTTTATAAATTATATAATACCTATATCAATTAACTTATTTAATATGTATTGAAAATCAACAACTGTGTACCAGGAACTGCGTTAGATTCCAGAGAATCCAAAAGAAGACAAAGAGTAGGGCCTTCACGTGTGTCAGTGGCGTAATTTAGGAGGCAGACCGAAACACACAGTCAGTGTGGGAAGTTCTCTTAAGATGGTTAATGCCAGTGAGGCAGCAAAGGATATCAGGGTTGGCTTAATAAAGTAGATATACTGAGTTGAATTTTGAAGTTTTTGTAAAGGTTAATTTGCTAATGAACTGGAGGAGAAGAAATTGAGTGAAGGGTTAATATGTAAGAAGGGAGGAATGGAATATTAGGAGAGTGATCAGATGAGAAATACTGGACAGAGTGGAAGAATGTATTGTAAGAAGGGATATAAAACTCAATGGCACTTCCATTAATCAAGTTAGAGAAAAAAGTCAGTGAACAATTTGGGAAAGGATGAGAAAATGAGTTTAGTAGTAGACATGAAAAACTGAAGATATGAATGGAACATCACTATGAACGTGTTGACAATAGCTAAATAAACTCGCACGGGACCGCAGGGAGGAACCTGAGATGAAAGGAAATGTTCAGAAGCCATCCATGCACACTTGATGATCAAAATAATGGAATGGAATAGGAAGAGGGAACAGACAACAGAGGCTAAAAGAACCATGTTGGAACACAGCAGACACAGATTTGCTCCTTTATGACACTAAACCCTAAGCAAGTTATGGAAGCACTCAGATCATGTTTCCTCATCAGGAAAGGGAGAAAACACCTGACTCATGATAAGATTGTTACATTATACATATTCACTCTTCTTCACCAAACAAATCAGTGTTATTTTATTACTATAAAATTATGAAAGCATATACACATGAAATTAATAAAGTTCTGAATAGTAAATTCTAAGAAAAAGTAACATTAAAGGAATGGACTAAAGAAAATACATTCAGATATATAAGAAGCAGCACCTTAGAGACAGGAAACCTTGATTTCCTAATGTCCAAGGAAGAAAAGACTTTCAGAAAGGTGAAAACAGCCAAGACTATTTCATAAGACATCTGTAAGTTTATTAGTGACAATAGCATCCTGAATGTAAAGTCAAAACCCTAAACTACACTGAAGAAGATAAAAGGTGGAAGAATAGCCTGTTTTATTAGGAATCTAATAGTGCAGAAAAAGATTTTAGAAGGTAACTCATTTGCATAGAGTTTTCAAATTAAAAATGAGAGCTTCACCAATTTCACATTTGCTTGTTTTCTGCAATTCTGTAATGACCTGAGAATTCTTGGTCTGTATTCCCCTTGGGCTTGAACTCTTATATTCTACCCATTTCTATTGTAATTTGTGCATATTATAACACTTTAATGATTGTACATGATTTCATAAACTAATTCAAATCACTTAATACAAGTAGAGTAAGTATTAAGGGGGTTTACATACTTGAGATAAAAACTCAGTAAAATAGCAACAGGTCAAGATGTAAAACGAGAGAGCATTCATAACAAATGATGTGTTAAAGGCAGAAGAGCAGCAGGGAGGGACCCAGGGGAGAGGATGACTACATCTTACTTGGGAGGAGAGATGCCTCATCCACTGAGAGAATACGGAAGGAAGTCAAAATGGGTTTGAATATCAACATATTCATAAGATTAGGAGTGAAGAAAGTTGAGGTAATTTCCTCCCCATAATCTCTGATCAATAAGCTAAGAGCAGGGGTGAATACTGACTTTGTGGGGTATGATGTTTAAGAGTTTTAGGTCCTCTGTAAGAAAAAATAAGTAAAGATATATAAAAATTCAAGTTTATATAAATTATATATATAATATGAAATTATACTGACAACAAATTTAGGATAGCTCACAGCAACTACATAAGATCTAGAATAGTAACACAATTTCATTAATTAACTGCCTGATATACTTTTAATTTTTTTTTTAATTTGATTGAATTTTCCTACGACAAAAATATTGAGTACATTTTTTTGAAAAGATGAGGCCAAATTGTAGATTTCTATGTTAAATTACCTTAAACTTTCCTGCTTCTTAAATGATAAGAGTTTTAAATGAAAGAGAAGGTTGTAATTTGGAAAAGACTCATGGGAGGGGTGCTATCAAGAGAGACTTTACAGACTATATTATTTAGTGACCCAAGATTTGAGACTTACTTTTTTCCTAGTAACTGTAGAATCACTAGAAGAATAACTGAATAATTTGTTTGTGTGTGTGTGATCATGCACACAACTTGACAATTAAGGTTCTTAATTAGTGGAATATTAGGGGTATTTTGGATGCAATTATGATCTATGTGTATACCATAACCAATTCATTTTTTCATTAATTCTATCAGCAACCTCATAATTCTTCAGTAAGCTTTATTCTGAATGATGAGTCAGAATACATTTCTGTTGTTTATAGAAAAGTAAATATAATTAATAACATATTCAACTCTATAACTGATCAGAGATATGCAAATAAAAATGATAAGGACATGTTTTCATCTGTCATATTGTACAAAAATAGAAAGTGCTAAAGATAACCAATTTAAAGGAGATTGTGGAAAATAAGCATTATACACTGCTGCTGGGATTGTAATTTAGTATATACTTTTTATAGCACTTTGGCAGAAAGTTACACAGTTAAAAATGAAAATATTCTCAACCAAGCAATTCTACCTATATTAACTTATTCAATGAAAATATGGAAATATGCTTTTAAAAAACATACATAAATTTTGGTATTAACTTAGCATAGTTGGGAGTAATTTAAAAGTGCAAGCACTGTTAATGTTTAGCAATAATGCATTACTTAACAAAATTATGGAATTTTGTTCAGCTCTTAAAAATAATGAAACTGATCAATGTGTTCTGAACTCAATATTTATCATATTCTTTTGAATGTAGTAAAAGAAGTACTGCGAGTAATGTTAAAAATCTATCTATATATGTATATGTTATATATATGTACATTATACATGTGAATACATTACATACATAAATTTTATGTTTACAGAAAAAGTTCTGAGAGTAGACATACAAACAATTTACAGTGATAAACCCTGCAGACTGGTACAGCTTCTAATTAAAATCATACTAAAAATCCATTTAGCATGGATTTTTACAAGTATATATAATACTTTTATTTTTTCAATACATTAAAGTATTAAATTAAAGCATTAAAGTATTGAAAAAATAAAATGCTAGGAAGCCTAAAATTAAAAGGGTGAAAGGAAGCATGTAGTATACATTAGAGTAAGTACAAAATAAAATGAGAAATGACTAAAATCAATGTTATTGGAGTATATTTACATAAAGCTAAAAAGTGGTCATGTTATTAGTAATTATTAATTAATAGCTATAAAGAGTACTGATAATAAATAACATTAATTGAGGATATATCATGCGATAATCATATTTTTATGTGCTTTATACACATTATCCTATTTAACTTAACTAGCCTGTAAAAGAGATCTTTTTCTCCTACAGCAAACACAACAAAGGCAAGGGGAGGTGAAGTCATAAGGCTTGTAGTTAGTAGAGTCAGTACCATCACTTGTAACTATGAAACCCAGGCCAAGCCCTGGATCGATTTAGTCTGGGTGGAGTTACTGAGATCTTGGAATGGCTAAACTTTTCAATGCAGAATTTCTTAATCCTGCGCAGTAAGATCTACTTCTAAGTTTAGAGACTATTAAGAGAGAAGAAAAGAGCCATCTTGTCTATGCTTGTTTGCTAATATCAAGACTTTACTTTTGTTTGGCTTTAACTGAATAGGGATTTCCTGCACGTGGCTCACCTACCCAATAATCTGATCATAATCCTTTAGACTCTGGAGCCTGGAGCTCCACAAAGGCATTATTCTGAACTAAATTCCTGCGGTGAGCCTGCCTATTATAGCAAGTAGTTTCCACACATCAGCACCCTGTATTTGGAAACTGGCCTTGGACAGGAGGTAGTAAGGAATGAAAGAAAGTTGAATGTAATTATGGGAATCTGTGCTAATAATTCTACTTATATTTATTTAATATAAGTACACTGATATAAATTTTATTCTGAGCATTTGAAACTACAATTTCAATATTTGGTTTCTACTTTCATACATAACCTAGGAGACTTATTTTAATCATACTAACTTTTTTTAAAAAGAAGCTTTTGTAAGATTATATAGCTTCTCTCCACTCATTTGGTCTAGTGTTTATTCACATATTGAAAGAGAGAAGACAGGTCAGTGGGAGAAGATATTGATTAGTTAAGTAGGCCAAGTTAATGACGATTTCCTTCAGTGCAGTCTTGTCACATCAAAAGTATATGATTTATGTTAAAAAATGTTATTTTACTACACTTTGCCTAGTAACAATAAGAATTGATACTCATATTTTATAGGCAGTAAGTAAAAAATCATATTAAAATTCTGATTCTGTGTTAACTAGCCTTGTCTTTACTCTGTAGATTTATATTCTATATTTAATGAGGAGATTAGTTTTTCAAACAGATGGTTTATAAGTTTAAGCATCCAGCTAGTGTGTGTTTTATATGTGTGTGTGATTATTATTATTAGCATTAGTATTAATGTTACTTCACAATATTTACAGGAGAGGAAAATCTGCTTCAAACGAGCTGTTTTGAAAACCAGCATTTGCATGGGTTTCTCTTATGTAGTTGACATTCCATGTTCTGTTGTACACTGATCTGCCTGCTATACTCAAAAAAACATTATTTTAGGTAGCTCAGCCTTGCTTACTTAATTAATGTTAATTAATGGCAATAATATTGTCTTTAGACTTACCCTGGCATTGGTCCATTTACAGCAAGACTGTAAACCTGACGAGGATTTAGTAGATATTGGAATTTTCTGTAAATTCTAGACAGATAAAAATATGGAAGAAAAGAATTTAGTGATAGAGTAACATTTTAAAATAAATAACACCCCTTAATATTTTAATTATATATTACTATAATTATATATATATTTGATAAATTTTATATTAATAATATTAGAAATATAAAAACTTAATAGAAATTAATGGTTCCTTTGAGAAAAGAGGCCTAGTAGTCATTATAAAAGCAAGATAGCTTATAAATGAGAAATAATATTTACCTTCTAAATATGCATATGCATTTAGAATATTATCCTGCTTTTAAATATTATTTAGCTAATTAAAATTCAAATAAATATTTTGAAAATATCAGCATATAATTTCTTAAATATCTTTTTTGAACAGATCCTTGTGAAATGTATCAAATATTGAACCAACCTAATAGAGTTGAAAACTATCCCACATACAAAATCCGATTATGCACTTCACATGTACGCAAGCAAAGAAAGTGACCTCATTTGCCTAGTTATTTCACATACACACTCAACTTGACCAGCCAGCTCATAAAACTGCTAAACTGTTTCAATACCATATATTAAATAATTTACTTTTCTTTTCTGAAAGAAATCAAGCTTTGTACATCAAATGCAACAGAAATTTTTCAAGCACATATGTAGCCAACAGGGTTGGAAGTCTTAGACAAAATAAAAGTGCAGGAATATGTTTAGATTTTTTATATTAATTTTATACACATGTAAAATATTACTATATATAAGGATGGACCAAAATAGGTTAAAGGTGTTCATATGGAGAATACAAAATTAATAAATAATAATACAAGATTAAACTGTTTCGTGTACTCACAACTGTAAACTCACTCTTGCCAAAGCCCTGTATTTTACAAACACATTCCTGTAAGATTTACTAATAGAAACTGTCTAAATTAACTACTACTATCTGCTTATATCCTCCCCACTCCCAAATCTACGGTAAACTTCACATTCTAAATCCTGATTAATTGGATTAACTAGTATATCGAGAAAGATGCTAGAGTCAGTCTCCTTTTTCCCAGGATCTGACCCTGATTGTGGACAAGCCTGTGCCTTCTGAGTACTGTCTGTCTAGCTAGGCCATTTCACTGCTTTAATGCAAGGTTTCATGTTCTCTCACCAATTCTGTAAAAACCATGCCTGTCTAGCCCTTTTCTATACTGCTACTTTAGTACAGTGATGTGGTGAGCATGATGGACAGTTCCTATTAGAGTCAATTTCTTTGTAATATAAAATATTTTACATGTCTCATCTTTTCCCTCCTTCCCCTTAAATTTTAACCTCTGTGATTATCTTCTGGTCTTAACAAATACAACACAACATTTCACAAATCTTTCTTCTTCCACCTGGGAAACATTTACTTATATCAGAACCAACTCAAATGCTTGTTCTTCTCTAAAGCCATTTCAGTGTTAAGAAATAGGAAGCAAAATCTTGGACATAGTTTGTAGCAATATTTAATCAGATATATCTTCCTAGGCAAGAGAAAAAGGAAACAAATGGGAACTACATCAAACTAAAAAGCTTTTGGACAGTAAAGGAAACCATCAACAAAATAAAAAGACAACCCACAGAATGGAAGAACATATTCACCAATACATCTGATAAAGGGTTAATATCAAAAATTTATAAAGAACTTACAAAACTCAACACCAAAAAAACCAAACAACCCAATTAAAAGTTGGGCAAAGGACCTAAATAGACAATACTCCAAAGAGGACATACAGATGGCCAATGTACATATGGAAAGATGCTCAACATACTAACCATCAGAGAAATGCAAATTAAAATCACAATGAGATATCATCTAACACCTGTCAGAATGGCTATCATTAGTAAATCAACAAACAACAGGTGCTAAGGGGATATAGAGAAAGGGAACCCTTTTGCACTCTCAGTAGGAATGCAGACTGGTGCAGCCACTGTGAAAGCAGTATGGAGATACCACGAAACATTAAAAATGGATCTGTCTTTTGACATAGCAATTCTACTTCTGAGAATATATCTGAGGGCACCTAAAACACTAATTCAAAAGGACATAAGCACACCTATGTTCATCGCAGCATCATTTATAATCACCGAGATATGGAAGCAGCCCAAGTGTCCATCAGTAGAGGAGTATATAAAACAACTATGGGACATTTACACAATGGAATACTACTTGGCTATAAAAAAAAGATGATGGTTTTACCCTTTGTGACAGCATGGATGGACCTGGAAAACATCTTGCTAAGTGAAATAAGCCAGTCAGAGAAAGACAAGTGCCATATGATTTTCCACAAATGTGGAATCTAATGAACAAACTGAACTAACCAACAAAACAGAGACAGACTCATATCCAAAGAACAGGATGACACCTAGGGTTGGGGGAGATTGGGGGTGGAGCAATTGAGCAAAAAGGAAAAAGGACTCATGGACATGGACAACAGTGTGGTGAGTGCTCGGGTAAGCTGGGTATAAGAGGACTAAATGATAATGGGAAAAATGCAATAAAAACATTTTAAATAAATAAAAAAGAAATAGTTATCAAAACATTTCCAGTTTAGCATTTATCACGTGGCATTGCAATGTATCTGCCTATGAGCCTATTTCCCTGCAGGATTTGTTTTAGATCTTTTATTCCCAGTCCCTAGTAGACTTTGAATTCCCTCAGGTATTATCTGAATGATGATACATGAGTACTTTCTCAATTGTTGACTGGTATAGGACTCTTTGTATGAATATATAGTTCTGTGATCTTTTTCTGCTTATCTAACATAACAAAATAAACCACAAAACTATTTTGAAGGGAAACCCTGCCCTGGATGGCATAGATCAATGGAATGAAATGTGGGCTTGCAACTCAAAGGGTCATCAATTCCCAGTCTAGGGCACATGCCTGGGTTGCAGGCCAGGTCCCCAGTTGGCGGGCAAGTGAGAGGCAAACCCATCAACGTTTCTATCTTTCTCTTTCTCTTTCCCTTCCCCTCTCTCTAAAAATAAATAAAATCTTTAAAAAGAAAACCCAGAACAGAATCTACCCTTTTAAATAAAAGATGCTTCTCTTTGCATTCAAAATAGGTCATTTTGAAAACATACTTATATTTTCTTTGAATTTGAATGATCCCTGATCATGTATAAAGTACAAAACATAAGTGAGTGTGGGTATAGAAGCATTCCAATATCCTCCCATACCCCTATTAGGTTTAATTAATTAACTTAATTGCATTACTATATTGTACCTATACTTTTTTAATTTAAAGAAAACTATTTTTATGTACAGGAAAAGGGAAAGGCAGATATTCAGTGAAGGGTACTGTACATGATCAATGTTATTTCAGTTTTAGGGAAATGGTTTTCTCCTTTGAATTTTTTTTTTATTTTTCATTTTGACACTCAACTTGTGTAGAATTCTCAACATCAATTTAAGACTTCTGAATTTTTTTAAAGAATGTATGTTTTGTGAGTATAACTATAATGTACACAGCAGACAGTGAATTATAATGGGGAAATAATTTTAGCATTATTATTTAATTACTATTTTGATTTCTGTGAGACAACTATCTCTTTAATAAAGCATTATACTTTTAATTATTAAGCCACTACTTACTGAAAATAATTTTGATCATGTTTAATAGGGTTAAAATACAACTGTATATTGATAAAAGGGAAAAACTTTTAAGCAGAAATAATATCTTTTTAGTTGAAAAATAAAGAACATTCCTTATTTCACTGAAATGCAGCTAGAAGTTAAATGGTAAGAAAGAGATTGCATTCATGGAAACATTTTAACTACATTATTTGGTAAACCAAAAAGGTAATTTCTGGTTTATTATCATGATGTTTGTGTTAGTGCTTTTATTTGATTACTGATTTTTGGCTAGGATTAGCAAAGACCTCTAGAAATTATTAAGGCAGGTACAGCCACATTTTGTTTATGACTACCTTTTTTAGAAGGATATAAGATTTATTCCCCAATGTGATTTTCAGGCTTTTATTAAATATTATGATTTAATCATGAACTCCTTCCAAAAATGAAAATTTTATGTTGTAGATGAGACTATTGAGATACCTGATAATGCCTCATTATTATTCAAATTAAATATGTCGTTTTCTTTGGGAAATATGGCATCATGTTCTAATTGTATTCCTCATTACTGGCTAATGATTTACCCGAAGTCACCCTGTTGACCACTTAGAGAACAAATTTTATTTCTACATTATTTATGGAGGATGCTGTATGCGAAGCTCTTTGATAAGGGCTAAGGGTAATAGGTAGGGTAGTGAGAATTCAAATAACTGATTTATGATAAAAATGTTTATAAAAGGGCATTATTACACTAAAATTTCAATTATAAAAATGAGAGATCAAACCAATATATTACATACACATGCTAGCATTATTTATCTCATATTAAAATATGTAAACTATGAGATATAATGTTTGCAAGTAGTTTTACACAATTTTAGTGAATCTTTTCAAATAGATATGACATAGAAAATAAACAAGACTTGAAAAAACATACCTTTCTCCTTGCTTCCCGCCACTTTTGGGGTTTACGAAAACTAAAAGCGGATGGGTGCCAGGAACAGGAGTGATCTAAAAGAAAAGGTGGTTATGCAGACAAATTACTCATGTATATGACAAAGACCCCTTGTTATTTCTATATTATGAAATACCAATTAGCAAATTCAAGAATATGGTTCTTTGTTGTTAAATGTGGATATTTACATTCATAGATCTACATAGTAACCCTGTTAAACATGGTGAGATACATGTGTATGTATGTGTGTATAAAATTCAAGATCTGTCTGGAAAAAGCCCAACCATTGTTAATGTAACAAGAACAGTTTGCGTGACATTGATGTAACCTAGCAGCCAAAGAGAGCAGACTGGAATGCACATGCCTGAGCAATGATGACTTCACTGTACTGGTTAGTGGGGGCTGTAGATATCATTGAGTGAGCATGTGTACTGTGTGGCCATCACACTCAAAATGACTGAGTGAGTTGAATAATAAATCTGCATCAAATTTTGCATTAAGCTTGAACATTCCTCTGCAGAAACTATTTGAATGATTCAGAAGGCCACAACTATGGGCAAATGGTGATTGGCAGCTTCATTATGACAATGCACCCATACATGCATCACATCTTGTGCAGAGTTTTTTTTGCAAACCATCAAATCACCCAAGTGACTCGGCAGCCTTACAGCTCAGATTCGGCACTCTGCCACTTCTGGCTTTTCCCAAAACTAAAATCACCTTGAAAGGAAAGAGATTTCAGACCATCGATGAGATTCAGGAAAATGCGATGGGGCTGCTGATGGTGATTGGGAGAACTGTGTGAGGTCCCAAGGTGCCCACTTTGAAGGAGTCTGAGGTGCCATTGCCCTGTGGTCAATGTTTCTTGTACCTTGTATCATCTTCAATAAATGTCTATAATCCAAAGGAGACCTCAGAATGTAACCTAATTTGCCAGCATATTGACCTTGAACTTTCCAGCCTTTAGAACTGTGAGAAATAAATGTCTTTTGTTTATGTCATCCACTTTATGGTATTTTGTTATAGCTTCCCAAGCTGATTAATACAGAAGTGTCCTATAGAAACTCAAGACATGCTCTTTAAAAATGAAGAGGGAGAGCTAGTCATCTTTCTCAAGATACCAGCATGGAATTTGATATTATGAGGACCAGCATCCATCAGTGATCATGAGCTGAACCTGCACATGCACAGATGGAGGATGGAAAAGATAGTACCTGTCCTGACAAAAATGTGGAGCTAACTTATTAGCCCTACTTCTGAAAATCCTACGTATGTACTTCATTTACATGAGAAAAAAATTATTACCTTGTCTGAACCACTGTTATGTTTTCTTTGCTCCTTGTTTATTGCTGCTTCCCTGTTTAAATCTACTTAATCTAATTGTAATGGATTTGAAAAAAAAGACCCATAGGGGAAAAAATTTGGATACAGATATAACCAGGCATAGAAACTTTATCTTTCATCAAACTTGTAAATATTTCCAATCCCTGTGTGAAGAACAACAGAAACTTGATATCAAAGTGTATGAATAGTTCCTATACTTCATTTTATCTTATATTGTAATTCCCATTACTGAATATGGGCATCATCATTTTCAGTTAATCCTTTTGTAATGTAATAGTCTGAGATAAGGAAAAATGTAGGTATTATTAGATGTGATATTTCAGTTAGTATAATCAGTACATCTGCTTCCAGATCTTGCTCTCAAGAGCTGTCTAAATCAGGTAAGAACTAACTTCTTACCTGAAGTTAAGAAGTTAGAGGAACTAACTTCTACAATTCAGAATTGAGTCGAAGGGAACTAATTTGCATTGTATTACAAATCACATATACTTAAAGGAACTTAATTAGATTAAAGAAATACAAACAGTTTTCTTAGTTTCTGAAATTCAGTGTATCTGATTTACATGAATAACATTGTATGGAAATAAAAAATATAATCTTTTTATTTGACTGTTATTTTTATTTTTTATATTTAAAAACAATGTCAAATATATGGAAAAGTTGCAAACACTATAGAATTTTTTTTCTGAATAATTTCTGAGTAAGTTGCCAAAATGACATTTCATCATTTTTTATTACATTAGGATTGCCAACACACAAGAACACTTTCTTATGTAAATATAACACTTCAAAATGAGAATAACATGATTCTGGACTTCTTTCTTTTGTTAGAATAGCCATTATTGAGACAATTGTTGAAGCTTGAATGGAATCAGGATTAGGTAGCACTAATATATCAAATTTATATTCAAGTTCACTAATTCTGTTTTGAACTAACTACATCTTCATGTTCATACAATAATTCCTTTTTTCCTTCAAGAAATTATTTTTTAAATGTTTATCTTTTTTCTTTTTATTGAATTTATTGGGGTGACACTGGTTAACAAAATTATACAGGTTTTAGGTGCACAGTTTACAACACACCATCTGTGCACTGTACTGTGTGTTCACCACCCCAAGTCAAGTCTCCTTCCATCACCATCTACCCCCCTTTATACTCTCTACCTCCCCACCCCCTCCTCCTCCTAGAAATCACCGCACTGTTGTCTGTGACCATGAGGTTTCCCCCACTTTTTACTTTTTGCTCAGTAATTCTGAAATCAGATGTACAACTCAACTATTTTGAACACTGAGTTACTGCCATCCTAAAATATCATATTCGTTTTGTTAAAAAATTGATAGAGTGAGAGGGGAAGACACAAACATGAATACATAAAAACTGGTTATTTTAAAACTATTTGTTACTGGAAGTAAATATTTATATACCCCTTGAAATAATTTACTGTGGAGCAGTATATAAAACATATGAAAGTCAAGTTGCTGTGTTTGCATTGTAAAAAAATACCCTGAACCTGTTTTCAGTCTCACCCACCACTGGACTTGAGACACCTCTATAGAACCCTGGGCTTCTCAAAAGTTTTTTAAGACAAATTAAGATAGAGTAATACAGTATAATCTAGAAAATATTAATAGCAGGATAAAGTATTCAAGAAAGATTTCATAGCATGTGTGGTACTTAAAAATCTCAAAGAATAATTATAAATTAGGTGGGAAGGGCATTCCTGAAGGAGAGAGTTCATACCAGATTATTCTCTATAGAGAATAGAGCTAATCAGATGAAATCTTACTCACATAAAGGGGCAATTTCTTATAGAAAATATTAAAGAACATGACTTTAGGGCCAGACTGATTTTGAATCCCCGTTCAACCTCTCCTCTCTACATAAACCCTTTCCCTTAATGATCTCATTTTAAATGACAGCTTTAATTTGCATTAAAATGCCTTTCACATCCAAATTCTTATCTGTCTGGTGCCCTAAACTGTAGGTTCACGCATCTGTCTGCTTACTTGACATTTTCATTTTGATATCAAACAAGGTCAGAAATTTCTCCTCAAACCTCTTTCACCCAGATCCTTCTTCATCTTTTCAGCAACTAAGTGAAACATCTTTGGGGTGTCCCTGACTTCTGACTTCTCATCTGGCCATCTTACATAAAATTACGGACAACCATGATGCTCTGTCCCAATACTGCTTCTTCATCTCAGTTTCCCCATATCACTTATAGGCTAGCACTTTAGATGTATGGAGATAGGAACTCACCTTAAAGCTTGTTGCAATGCTGAAAATATAGAGTAATCATTCTGGACATAGAGAGGGAATTAAAATGACCCTGGAGAACTGATTATGAAAGAATCTACAGGCTTGAGGAGCCCAAAGTGGGCAAATGATGATGCACGCGCACACACACATGCACACACAGATCAAAGGAAGGGAATTTGTTTTTATACATACACCATACAGTTGTGTACAGTACATATGTGATGCAGTTTATCTTCTCGATTATAAGAATGAAATACTGCAAATAACAAAGACCAGGGATAGGGAGAAACAGTTGAGGTGGGAAAACACTGGTTTACTTTTAAGTGTAAAGATCTCTCTTTGCCTTGTGTTAAGGGTATTAGAAACTAGACTTTTTGGTTCTTAAGTCATCCTTTCATTGGAAAAGTTTTCTCAAAGAATAATTAGGGACAAAGTAACTTTGGTTTAACATATTTTAAACAATTTTTCTCATTTTCTGTTTATTTGTTCACATGTGGATAGTCATCTATATTTTTACGTCTCCCTCATCCTAAGATATTGTAGCTTCAATTACATTTGATCATATATATTAAGTGTAAACCTATGGTGTGTGCAGTGACAAAGACAGAGTGCCTAACCACCTCTATTTGAAGTCCCCTAGGACTTGGGTTAATTAATGAGACTCATCCTAAGGTTATACATGATCTATTACTTCCTCTAATTAGAAATAATAATCCTGATCATTATGCTGGTTAGCTGGAAAGAAGTAAGATGAATGTGCTTAACTATGATTAATAGTCTCCTGTAAGCAGTGGAGATCTCTTCTGTCACTGAGTTATATGCAAACTGAGAAGCAACTCAATGCTTTTTTATGATATATACTTTTAATGTTCCAAAAAATTAATTTTCTGGCAGCTCTTTATACCTTTCTGATTAAAAAAAACATTGTATTATTTTAAATTCATTACCACAACAAAAATTAGTTATTTTTTCATTTTGCAAGAAAAAGATAAATAAGAATTTAATCTTTCACCTTTTTAAATATTTCCCCCAAAATTCTGTGAACACCTATGTGTATCATATTTCATTCCATTCTGCTGAGGTGAAACAGACTACTTTAGAGAATTATATACCAAATATTTAAAATTAAAAAAGTTACAATGATGATGATTGCACGAAGTGATATTTATTCACCACTGTTTAGTAAGGGCTGATGATTATCCTTTGCCTACTGGCAACTTTCCCTGACACTTTCATGCACAACACAAAGCATGAAAGTTACTGGGGGGAGGAGAGATGAAATGCATCCACATAAAAGGTTAACCACCTACTGTTTTTAACGTGATTGATTTAGTTGGAATAAGGTGGAATATTCTTATTTTTTTTAACAAAAAGGAAAATTCAACTTACATACTGACACAGTTTAAAATATTATGCATGTACATTTAATTTTGCTGTAAAGTCTGAGTAAAGTGCATTCTGATTATTCAAACCTTAAGTAACTGAGAGGAAAAAAATGTAATTCTAGTACATACATGATTTTTGTTTTTAAATGTGCAACAATATACAAGTAAATAAAATAAAAAAGGTGATCAGAAAGTTAGCATTTATATACCTGTTAAAATTTCCTAGCCAAGGAGTTAGTTCACCCTGAAGGTAAAACACAGAACCTGAGTCAGATGATCCTCATTCAAACCTTAGCTTTGCCAATGACTGACTGCAAGGCCCTGAAGATAAGTTCACTTTTGAACAGCAATATGCTCACTTTGAACATAGTAAACAATAAGGGTGATATTTATCATATGAATATGGAGGATAACTAAGAACTAATATTTATCTCATATGTTTATAGGACAAATTCACTTAATATGCATAAAATAATATTATAGTGCCTAGCAGAAACTATTTAACAAACAATGCATGTTTCCCTTTTACACTGAGAAGTGCCTACTCAAGTGTGAAACATACTTAAATTTTAAAATTTGGTTTCCCTGCCACTATTTTTATTGCAAGAACTCAGAGTGAGTCAAGATACAAACTAATAAATATTTTGAATTGACATACTAAATTTACAAATATTGCTTTTTTCGCTATAATTTTTATAGGATCAATTAATTACATTGTATTTGCTATCAAATTTTGAATAGATGTTATATGTGGGACTTTAAATGAAATTTCTAAACACACACATGACTTCCACAAAGTGTACATCCTATTTTCCTCTTACAATAATTAACTTTTATACTCCCTATCCAATGTAGTAACTTTATCATTCAGAATTTCTTTTTTTATTTGAATTTATAAATTCATAATTGATTTTCCATTTACAATGTGTTTTATTAGATCAAAACAAAGCAATAACCTAGATATCAATATTTTTTAAATTATTAAATTTTCAATGAGATATTTAAAATAATAAAGAAACTAGCATTTAGGCAACTACTGTGTGCTCTAAACTGTGCTTTCAAATGATGCCCTATGAAAGATATACTCCACTCCATAGTATCACAGATAAATAATAAATGAAACAGAAAGATACAATGTAGTGCCCATTGAGTGCAAGTGTGTGACGTATCTCTCTGTGTGGTAGATGGTTGGAAAGTTTGCCTGGAGAACATGAAATTCGAAGCATATTCTTACAGAGAGGAATCAGAAATTGGTGGAGAGAAACATGTGGTTAGGAAAACAAAAAAACAAGTTCACAGTTTCATACAGTAAGCCTTCATTGATTGTTTTCATACTGGAATGTGAAACAGGTAAAATAAAATATATTTAATTCAATATATAGAATATTCTAAAAAATGGATGGAAAGATACCTTAGGTACCTTATTTCTGATGTCAGAGACCCTGAGGGTAACTTAGAAGTTTTTAAAGTACTAAAAACATGATATTGAGTTACCTATTTTTACTTACATTAGAAATATTTTTGAGATTTCAATTTTGACTTAAAACTTTGGAAAATAAATATAATAATAAGTTCATTATTTTTATTATTTATTTAGAAACAAAAGTATCCAGATAAGTAGAGTTCATTTTATTTTTCCCAAAGACATATTTTGCCATGAAAATGACTCTTCCAAACGTACACACTAATATGGAGAACATATACTTATGGACAAAAAATACATATATAAATAATAATGTGTATTTGGTAATAAGTAACAATAATTTTAAAATCTTAGGATTGGCAGACCCCTTTCCAATTTGAATTTAAGCAAATGTAGCTTCATAAATGGTTCATCTAACCAGAATGTCACTCTGTCAACCAACTATAATACTAATGTCTTCATAAAGTAATAAGGATTTTTCCAAAGTAATCTACTGAGTTAATCTTCACATTAAATGAATGTGTTGACACCTTGGCATATGCCCCCTCTAAGAGCACAGGAGTAACAAATAGGAAAACTACTAAAATTTACATTTTTAAAAAATCATACCTGCAGACCTTGCCCATCCACAGTAACTGAGTTGGCTCTCTGCATTTTGTTCTTGTCAGTCCCTTTGTTCGGCTGCTGGGAGCCACCCTTTTCCTTTTTCACTGTCACTTGTCTTTCCTATAAAGAAAAAGACCCCCAAAACTCTTTTATAAAAATGTTGAATTGTTTTATTGAACAGGTCACCATACAGAAGAGTCTCATGGCTAATTTGGGCCCAAATTCCTCATGCATAATATGAAAGCTGTTGTGTGTGTGTGTGTGTGTGTGTGTGTGTGTGTGTGTGTGTATGAGAGATGCATAATCAAACCATCCATTGAAAAATGGTATGAAAGAAAACCAACTTGTATTATCCTTAGGGTCCAAATTATGACTCTAACTTCTGATAGAGTCAAAACTTATGACTCTAATTTGACTCTATCAAGAGTTATTAAGAATCACTGAAGCTAATTTTTCATAAAAATGGTCAAGATAAATAATACGGGATTACAAATGAAATATTTGGTACGAAGTCCTAAAAATAATGCTTACATAATGGGCAATATTAAAAATGAGTACATGATGGAGCTTTAAGCTACTATAAAGCTACCATCAAGGATGACATGAACCTTGAACCTCTCATTCCATCCCAGCCAATCCCTTTGTTCCCCTTAATACACGAAGCTTGTTATAGTTGTCTGCTCCCTGTTTTTATGTCCTCTTCTCTCTCTCTTCAACTCAACCTGATAAATGTTATCATCATTAATTCACAAATCAAATACATTTAATACATTGGTGATGTATTAAAATCACCAATGACCTCACGATCACACCTGTTGCTCAGTCTTCCCCATCTGAACTTTCAAGCGGCACTGGACATAACTAATGTCTCCTCCCTTCTTGAAAGCTCGCCGCCCTGGGCATCCAAGACAAAGCTTTCTCTTAGCTCTCTTCTTATTTCACCAACTGTGCCCTTGTGGTCTCTTTTGTTGGTTCCTCCTTCAGCTTCCTGGTCTTTAACACTTGACTTCTGCCGTGGCCCTCTCACCTTTACCAACTACACTCACACCCTAAGTGACTTCATTTAATCCAAGGCTTTCAATTTCAATTCTAGGATAAAGAATTCTAAATATTCCTGGCTGGTGTAGCTCAGTGGATTGAGTGCGGGCTGTGAACCAAAGTGTCACAGGTTCGATTCCCAGTCAGGGTACATGCCTGGGTTGCAGGCCATGACCCCCAGCAACTGCACATTGATGTTTCTCTCTCTCTCTCTTTCTCCCTCCCTTCCCTCTCTAAAATAATTAATTAATTAATTAAAAAAAAGAACGTAAAAAAAAAAGAATTCTAAATATTTCCTGTTTGGATTGCTCCCTTGAACCTTGATACCTATAGTCAAATGCCCTTTCTAGCTGTCCACATGAGTATCTAAAATGTACATGAATCCCAAAACTATTTTAATTTTCAGCCTACCCCCCTTGAAAATAAATTGCATTCTAAACAATAACTCCCCACCTCCATCATTATATTATATGAACTACCATAATGTTATCTGACTGAATAATATAGCTGTGACTGAATGAGTCCTTTTGATCCCAACTTTGGCTCCCTACTCTCAATTATTGTACAACAGCCACACTCCTCCCTTTGCTCCCCTCCAGCTGCACCCACCTCCTCATTGTGCCATAATCACATTATGCTCTTCATTGAGGCTCTTACAGTCACTCTGCACTCTACTGGAAAGCTCCTATTTATATATCCCTTGGGCTTGCTCCTCACTTACTTCACATTTCTGGTCAAATGTCAGGACTGCTTCTCTATTCACTGCATCCTTCTTTTGTGAGTATGTAATTTAATACAACCTGAAATGTCTGTTTAATTTGTTCAATACTGGTCTTCCTCTGCTTTAATCAAAGCTTCATAAGAGAAAGGATAGAGAAATAGATGAGTTTCAACATTATAAAAACAAAAAAGGAAGTGTCTAAAGCATTATTTTGAGAAATAGTTTTGACCTTGTCTAGGCCGGGTATGAACAATTGCCCTGATCAGTTAGCAGTGTTTTCCACGTGTGCTTAAATGCTCCAGTGCCACTTTCTCATCACTTACTCAGATATTTATTTCTTAATTTCTGTGTTTGTCTTTTTAGAGGAAAATTTAACTTCCTGTTATCTCAGAAAATATTTTTAAGTAAACTTCAAAGTAAAACCCTATGAAAAATATATCAGGGACAGATGAATCAGAAAACTTCTTGAACAAAAATAAATGTTAATCAGGACAGTCCATCTACTTTGCAGTTTCAGGTGCAAAAAGTAAAAAATATATATATATATATGTATATATATACATACATATATAGGTATAGCTGAAAATGGGTATATATTATATACACATATATAAAAATATACATATATATTTGTATATATGACTAAGAACCAATGATACAGTAGGATTTCTGAAATTCAAATTCTTTGGAAAATGATGTATTTACAGATAAGCATAATTTCTGATAAAAAATATCAACATTTTAAAAGGTTGATCATGCTTTATAAGATTACAAATTATAATTATAATTTTGTCCATAAACGTTGAGTATAATGCTTAGAAAGAATGAATTACAGGGTGAGGCTTGGAATAAAAGAGCCTGAGATGAATCCCATCTCTGCTACTTAAATATTATGTAACCTCAGAGAACTTATCCTTTCTCAAAATGAAGGTAGTAATTAATACCTATTTCTCTAAGTATTTCAAGTTTAATAGAAAATGTATGAGCTCCAAACACTGTGCCTGTATTAGAGTATGTGCTCAATAAATGAAACTTATTAGGAATAATATAAAATTAATTGGTTCTACCATAAGGGGGGTTCATTAATATTACCTTTATGAAAAATGTTTTTATACTTACAAATATGGCACTAGTTACAGTAACATCTGTTTAAATGTGAAGAACAAGCTCAGTATGAAAACCCATAGCTTGTATTAAAAGTTCAAAAATGAAATAAAGTTGATGAGTATATGAAAAACTTCACCTTCAGTATTTAATTTTTTTTTGGTTTGGGCCCTAAATTACAAAATAAATTTGTTATAATTAAGAAAATTTTGTTGTGCCAGGTAAATTACCCCAGATATAAAAAGAGTTGGAAAATTATTGCTATAATCAATAGAAATTATTCAAACACTGAAAAGAGCTACTCTAAGAAAACCATGAAAGAATATAGAACATATAACTACAAAATATAAAACACAGTTATTGATATTTAAGCATTTTCAAATATCAATCATTTGTGTTTGCTAGACAGACATTTTAAACATAGAATTCAATGTTTGGTGATCCTTGGACTCCACAAGTAGCAAACAGATTTTAACTAGGGAATATATTGTATTACAATTCCAAAGAATAATCACCATAATGAACACAGAAGAAAAGCTGAACAGACCATTCACAGAACACAGAAAGATGAAATAAATGAAATAAAAAGACCTCACTTTAAATATGTGCTCTAAATAATATTTTTCTGTATCATGCTGATTCTCAGATGTTTTAGTATTTGTATGTGGCTGACAACTGCTTTCACAAAAGGTATGTTTACCACAAACCTTAAGCCTGCTGTTATCGATCATTCACAAACTACAAGCAGCAAGTGATGATTACCTCAAGCACAGGGTTTTCTTCTTTTTGTCCAATCTCAGCATGAGATACAGGCAGCAGCAAAGCACCACCATTGGTACAAAGCCACAAAGAAGGGGAGGGGGATGCTTTGCTGCCAACAGCATCTTTCAAAGGAATCTTGCTACTTGCTTTCTCTGCTATTTCACCAAGTGCCTGAATGAAGACATAGCCCTTTTGGCCCCTAGGGCCAAGCCACAAGAATTTCCCAGAAACTTGAGAATTTTAAGCCAAGGTAACACTTGGATATTCTTAATATTAAAATCTCCCTGCAGCAAACAAGTCACCATATCATTGGGACTTATAAGGGTTACCAGCTCTGAAAAACCAATTTATTGACAGCTGCAAAGCTAGACCTTTGATAAGTGTGACCTTACTGTGGGATTTGAACATTTCCAGAGAAACTCATTCATTTCAAAAATGGCAAAGACTCTAAATCTTTGGGCAAGTAATCTACTACCTCTAACTCACCGTTGAACTCATCTATAAAATGAAAGGTTCATGTGATGATAAATTGAAAACATGTGAAATACTGGCATAAAATCGGCAGTAAATGCAGTAATTTTTAAAATAACAAAATTGTCATAGTTTACCATGAAGTTTAAAACAAGTAAGGTGCTGAAAGAGCATACATGCATAATCAACAGACACAGACAACAGTGTGGTGATGGCCAGAGGGAAACGGGGTGGGGGGTGGGGGTGGGCAGAGGGAGGAAAATGAGGACATCTGTAATGGTGTCAACAATAAAAATAAAGCTAAAAAAGTATACTATACATTAAAGCAAATGTAAATTTTTAAGGGGTTAAATATGGGTGCCCTGAAGGCCCATGAGAAAATCCTTTAACTTGGGCTGCTTACTGGCAAATGGTACTGCCCTTATAAAGTTGTGTGTGTGTGTATGTGCCTGAACTTCATTCCTGCTCCATTCCCTTTGTAAAACCATACTAACTGATGCCACAGGAAGCCTAAGGTTAAAAGCAAGGAGGCAGCTTTCTTGTACGTGCACATTCATCACTTCATTCCATATGTTATGTTCAATAACCAACCTGGTAATTTCTGTGTAGTACCCAACCTGTTTATGCCAGTTCCAAGAAGAATTTATCTTGCTTTTGTAACCAGGTAAGGTAATTATTACTCGTGCCATTGGATTATGTATAAAAAATGAGTTATTTCTCTACATCACTTGCATGCTTAAGAAAGAGAGACTAATACCAGGCGCATGAGTGTGCATGTGTGTGTGTGTAGGAGGACCAATCAAGTTGGGTTTGGGCACAGTTGACTATAAAAGCATGGAGAATTAGTAATAAAAATTAAGAGCTTTGAAATACAAATTGCTCCACAGATATCCTTGAGTTTTGGTGAGTTTATACTTTAAAACAACTGAGTGGGTCCTGGCTGGTGTGGCTCAGTGGATTGAGCACTGGCCTACGAACTGAAGGGTCACGGATTCAATTTCTAGTCAGGGCACATGCCTGGGTTGTGCGCCAGGTCCTCATTTGGGGGCTTGCAAGAGGCAACCCATCCAAGTATCTCTGGCACACCATCAATGTTTCTTTCCCTCTTTCCCTCCCTTCCCCTCTCTCTAAAAGATAAATTAAAATCTTAAAAAAAAACTTGAATATAATCGGAAACAATTGCTTTCATTAGTATACAAATGCCCTTAGACCAAATAAGAATGTTTTTGTTTTATTTTAAAACAATTGATCATTGAAATTTATGGGTGAGAAAATGGTGATAAATGCAAAAAAAAACTATATTGCCATTTCCAAATAGTAGCTATATCCTCATAGAAAAGGCCTTTATCCTGTCAAAAGTAACATATATATAATATACATTTACATGTTATGAATATAATGTTTAAGATATGCATATATCTTTCTGTAAGTTTCCTTATACATTGTAACCACATTTTCAGTTAGCCAACAAGCAACTGTTCCTGAGGGCAGATCACTGGGGTCTGTCTCTCTCTCTGCCTGCACGTCTCTGTGTGCGTGTGTATCACACACTCATTTATATTGCTATACATAGGCTGAAGAAAAATTCTGGAAAAATACAGTTGAAGTAAACTTGTACAATGATGTCAGAGGATAGTAATAATTTTTAAAGATTTTATTTATTCATTTTCAGAGAGAGGAAAAGGGAGGGAGGAAGAGAGGGAAAAAAACATGGATTGGTTGCCTCTCATAGACCCCCAACTGGGGACCTGGCCAGCAACCCAAGTGTGTGCCCTGAATGGGAATCACCTTTTTTGTGCAATTATCTTATCCTCTAAATAAATTCATACTTACATGGTTATTCACATATTATTAATAATAATTTTCATAAGAAGCAGATTCAAATTATCACTGTAAGGAAATGATGCCACTTGAGCATAATCCTTTAGAGACAGTAACAATTGAATTTTGTCACAGAATAATGTGGAGGCTTCACTTCATTAATGCATGGTAAAGCTAATACTTCACTGAAATTAAATGTAGAGCCCTCCCTGGGTGGCTCAGTTGGTTAGAGCATCATCCCAGTGTGCCAAGGGTGTGGGTTCGATCCTTGGCTAGGGTACATGCAAGAATTATCCAGAGAATACATAAATAAGTGAAACAGCAAATCAATGTTTCTCACTATCTCTCTCTCTCAATATTTCAAAAAAAGAAAAAATATGACAATGCCTACATTTATTTTCAAGACAAGCCATTTAACCTGTGACTATATTAGATTAGCATGACCTTCTATATGATGTCATATGCTAAATGATTAATTAATGCTGGTGTACTGTTTTTTTATAGTGATGGACACTTGAAAAGGAGCAAGAGTTTCCCAACACACTATCAGTGAAAGCTATATTTTAATGGCTCAGAGGATCTGTTTTAGGTTTAATGTATTTATATTTTAACTTGACAAGTGGAAATGATGCTATCCTTGTATGCTGGTCTTGGTCAAAACTCTTTGCAAAGTGACTTTTATTTAGCTCTATATACTTTTTTCACGTGACTTCTTGTTTTTCTAATGTTTGTCACAAATGTAGGTTGGAAATGCTTCAAGTCTATCCCATCATGAAAATCTAAAGATCCCTAAGGACATGAGAAAAAATGAAATATACAAATTAATGTTAATGGTTACTAAGACAACCCAACGTGTTCTTTATAACAACACAAGATGTATAATGACCTATGATTGCAATTGTGAAAACCCTTTTTGCTTACGCACCTCAGGGACTGAACCTCCTGAAGTGGGCAGAGTCTGTTGAAAAAGAGAAGTTCATATTAAAGCTGAAAAAAAAGGTCAAACTGAAAACAAATATCAGTGAAGGTTCTTATATCACTATTCTCTTGTGAAATAAATGAATAAACATCAAATGCATTTTCCTGTCATAGTTTTTTCCTTACATTCACTCATTGAATAAATATCTTTTCACAAAAATAAGGAATGCTCTAATGCAGAGCTGGCTAGGTTGTGGAACGGCTAATTCAAACTACAGTTCATCCACCCAAAACTGACTAAATGACACTTCTCTACAGCAACACTGACATACTACATTTATATTTTGAAATACAAACTCATCTCCAAGTTCCATTTTCTTTCGTAAATAATCCTTACTAACTTTTGATGTCACCTGTTTACCCAGCCCACGTTCCCACTTTTCAATATAACTCTCACTCCTTCCTAAAAATACTCAGTGTCTGTTTAATGTAGACATAGCTTACAGGGATGATTTTATTTTGTCATTCTCTAAAAATGAAAGAAGTATTAATATTAGTAAAAAACAAAAATATAATTAAATAAGAAGCAAGATTTTACTTGAAAGTGATTTTATTTTAAATGAGGTTAAATATACTGAAGCTAGATTTCATGAGACTGTATCTTCAATGACCCACCACCCCTCCTTTTCTGAGTCACATTGGAAAGGTAACCCCCAAATCCTGTGTCCTATGAGACTTCTAACAAATTTGTAAGAATTTTTAATACTCATAATACCACATAAAAGTTTCCCAAAGTGGGGTGGAAGGAAGGAAAGGAAGAAAATTGGATAAGTAGCTAGCAGTTGTTAGATATTTGTGTATCATTAAAAAGGAAGGAGAGGGGGATATATTCCAGTGTCCTCCCCAGGACCAAGCTTTGTGAGGAGCACTCTGGGTGGATCCCCAAGATGGGTCTGAGACATCTGAGAACACAGGTCTTAGCTGACATGTTTACCAGAAAGAACTTTGGGAAGACAGCAAGAACCAACAGAGTAAACAGCTACTTCTGAGGTAAATGAGGCCCCACACGGTTTCACAGATGCTCCACATAGAGGTGGATTAGAAGGATCCAACACACCCAAAGGTGGAACACAAGGAGAAGGAGTCTAAGATGGCCCCAGAGAAAATGAAGGTGTCCGGGAATACAACTTTGTTTGGAAGATGTTTTTATAAGTAAAAATAAATGGCAGGTGCAGATTTTTAGTCAAAAGAAATAATGAAGTCTGTTAAAATAACCTTGATTTTACTATCCCGTTTACAGGAGAACCCTGTGGAAATAATTGCTGTTGTTTCTCAGGTGAATTGACAAAAGATTTGGAAGAACACTTATTGAAAGCTTTCAGATTTCAGTATTTCTTGACTGAATATACTTCAGTCCAAGTCCGTCTACATAACCCTTCAGGCAATGGGTGGTGGGGAATGGCTCCCCTTAAAGCTTCTTGTCAGCCTACTATTCTTCATCTTTCTCAGCTTTTAGTTGAAGCTTAGATCTGAATAAACACTTTTAAGACATGAATATGTACTTCCATCACTATTATAATATATAAATGTTTATTCTTCCTCAAATCCAGAGTTAAGTGACTTATACTATGATTCTCTATGTATCTAATGTCATGATCCCAGGGATACCCAGAGACTTCCAAGAAACCCAACTGAGACACCCATCAGGTGACCTCTAGAACATGAGTCACAGATCCCTTCTACCTCAGAAAGAGTTTATGTTAACTACACATTAAGTCTGCACAGAACAAGTCAATGAAAAGCCAAGTAAAAAGATTATAGTTGTCCAAGGTTCAGAATAACAACCAACTGCAATCTTACCTTTAACTGGAACCTAGTCAACAAAAGAAAAAAAGTAAACAAAATATAACCAGAGACATTGAAATGAAGAACAATCTGACAGTAACCAGAGGGGAGGTAGGAGGGGGTAATGGGGGGAAGGCAGGAAGGGTTTTCAGGAACAGCTACAAAGGACACATGGACAAAACCCAGAGGGGTAGAAACAAGGAAGCGGGTGGGTTTGGCTGGGGTAGGAGGGAGTGATAGGGGATAAATGCAGACAAGTATAGTTGAACAACAATAAAATAATTTTTAAAAATTTTCAAATAGATTCTATCTATACCACCTCTACAACAATCTCTCCATAAAACCATCAAAGACATCTTAAAGATAATTGTGGGCATTAGAATATAAACAGGAATCACTATTGCTATTCTACAGTGTAATATCAATAGTGTAATGGCATAGAAATTTTTCTTTAATCTCAGAAAATGCCTGGTGGAATATTTGGAGATTTAGTGTCCTACTACCTGCAATTTGCCTTTCAAAAGATTCAACTTAATAAAATTCATATTACATATATATTGTAAATATGCATATATAAGCACACATATATTCATATATAGAGACATATATGTCTCTATATATATAAACAATTGATGAATATAGTTTAGGGATTTATAGTATTCATGTAACCCAATGCCACAAAAAGCAAAGACTATGCCTTGTTGGATAATAAAAATCCCATTTTAAGGCATCCCCCACAACACACTATAGGATGAAATTGAACCCTAGCAGGCACTCTGTTAGCACTTGTGTAGGGAATTGCAATGTACAGATATTCATGTTAGCAGGCTTCCTCCTTCTCAGAGTAGAGGGCACATGGGTTATCTACTGAGAGCAAATGAGGTTGGTAGAGAGAAAGTGAGATGAAGAAAGTAAGGAAATAGTTGAGAATTTGTCACTACATCTCTGAGGATGGGAAAGCAGTTGACTAAGGATGAATAACAGGATCAAACAAAACTGAGCCCTCAGCTGGGCTAGAAGTCATAAATATGTAAGACAGAAAGCCACCAGCATTGAGATTTTTTTTCTAGCAACACTCAGACATCTGACAGCAACACTACAAATTCACTCCAAGAATAAGGGTGATGAAACTATATTTGAGCTCACTTACAATTAAGATGTACAGGCAACACGTGTATATTAAATTACCATGCCTAGCATTATCTTATCTCTGAGTCACAATAAGTAAACCGTGATATGTGTGTAAATGAAAAAGAAGCAACTTGTTGGAAAACAAATTCAAATATTATATTACTTCATTTTTATTCTCCTATATATAATTTTTAAATATCAGGATGAGCAGTGTAAATGTTTTAGTTTCTTTAAAATTATCATGAGTGTATAATTCTAAATGTAATATATTTTTAATTAGAATTAATACAGGAACTGTATATTTGTATTTAATCATATGTGAGGTGTGACTACAGAGGAATGTGATTGATTTTATTTAATCAGTATCATTTTAATATTAAATAGAATACACAGTACAGATAATTAGTTTAAAGGATGCATTTGCCTTCAGGGCACTTGTTAAGTTCAACCTAATATCAAAGAATTTTTAAAAAACCTATTATTCTAAAGTATTGAGATATCTCTTGTCTTCATATTTCCTAAAATGGAATCATTTTAAATTGACAATTTAATCCAAATTGTCATAGGACAAAGAAAAATCTTTGTTGGAGAGATTATTAAGCTTTGACTTAGTTAAAAATATAATAAGAGAATAGTAGTCACATTAAAAGGGCCATCAGTTATTTCAAGACTAAAGTAAAATTAATAGAATTATATATCATACCTATATAAGAGTGTTCATATTTTTGAAATATTGCTTTCATGTTTATTATTTCATTTAATCCTTCCACTAAGCTGGGATGCATACTCCATTTCTCAGATTGGGAAAATGAAAATCAGAAACATTAGATAACTAAGCATAGGAAAATAAAGTTAGTGACAGAATCCAAATACAGGGCTTTTTTTGTCTTAGGATTTACTTAATTCAAACAACAGGAGGTTCAACAAAAAAAAATTGTTTCCTTTTTAGCTAGATCTCTATTTTTTAAGTGATTTGGAAACCAAATAATTTTAAAATGTGGTTGAACACAACAAAGTATGTAGTAACCTCAATACATATCCGTTCTGCCTGAAGGAACTGGCTTGGAGATCAGTATGGATTAATTGAACAGAGAATAACTTCCAGTGCAGTGGCAAATTAGAGGCCAAAGAAAACTATTCTCAATGGCGTATTTTCCTTACACGCAATTCAATATCACTGGCATCAAAGAAGTGAGAGACAGGAGGAAAGCAGGTTTGGGAAGAGAACAATTGTCTTCCAAACATGGCGCCCTGCCGCGGCTTCAGAGCTCAAGGTGTTCTTCCTTCACACGTGATAATGAAACGCATCAACAACATCTCTAAGATACAGAAAGTAAACATATTTTTAGTTTCCGTGGATGTTACTCTTACATTCCAGCTTCATAGTTTGTTTAAGCTTTTCTGACTTTGCAGGTCCACGGGTGTGCACGCTCACACATATGAACACAGTGCAAATTTGAAACATAAGTGAGATCGAAATAATTTTAATACTACTGTTGTCTTTATCAATATCTTTAATCAAAGATAATTTCAACGTGTGACCAGTAGGTCAATCATAAAAAAATATAAACTGGGCTTGTTTTCTTTCCCACTGGCACTTTGACATATCTAATAAAATATAACTAGCAAAAATAAAATAGTTTAGAAGATAGACATCTTAAACAGGGTTCTTTACTTAACCACTTCTCACCTGAGCCAAATTAAGCTTCTTACATCAACATAAATTTAATGGTAAAAATATTTTTACCAGGATGATTCAACTACCTTTGTAATCACTCACATAAATATTCTATTCTTACTTCTGTAAATGCAATCATTTATGGGTGTTTGCAGAGCTTTGGTCGGGAGATATGGAAGTGAAGGGAGAGCAGGGCTCCCTCCTGTGCAGCTCCCTCAATACATGCACCCGTCTGTGTCCAAAAAGGAATTTCCTGAATCCAGAAAGTACACCTAGAGCAATGACTATTTGGACACTTAAGGAGTACCAAATATTTTCAGTGAAAACGTTAAAGCTATATTTTTATAAAGATTGCTAAATTATTTCAAACATAGATTTCTACATAT